GCTTAGTTATAATACCTTAAACAAAAGTAGAAACATATACATACATACATATATATATATATATATATATATAAATAAAAATAACCTTAAATTTGTATCAGTACACAAAAATATTTTAAACGAGAGTAGAAACATGTATAGAGTATTTGCTAACAAAAATAACCTTAAGTTTGTATCAATATATGAAAATTTATATCAATGTTAAATATTTGAGATTAACAGTTGCTTTTTAGTTTAAAGCAGATTCAATAATCTACCCTTTTATCCTATCATTCCTATATCCCATTTTTTCTTTTCAGAAAGAGATCCTTGAATTTAACCTCCCTTTCTTAGTTTCCTCTCTTACCATGACCAGTAACAATTTGCCACTAACCCCTTAAGTGATGACAAATATCCATAAACTACTAAACAACCAAAAGCTACCCACCTCATCTTTTGGGAATGTGGGCATCATATTCTTAAAATTACTTCCTGTTGCCTGGGAGTGACAGAATCTTTAGGAGACTCTGAGAAAATTGAGATAATGGTCAAGTCCTGGGAAAACTAGCTGTTAACATTTCTTGCCCAGTCTGTGTATAATGGGAAAGTGCAGGGCTTTTCTGAAGTCATTGCTAGAGTAGTCTGTAAGGCTGGATCATCTCAGCCAGTAGCTTTGAAACTGTCCTGAGCAATTTGTAGTCCAACACTGATATTTGGGTGGTGGTTGTTAGCTTTGACATTATCACAATCTAGGAGGAAGCATTGTTGTGGGGCCCATCATTTTCTTTTTTTTGAGACTTAAAGGTCACTGTTAGGAATGGTCACAGTTCACTGCAGAAAACATCAATATTTTAAATATCATATGCAACAGATCTTAGAGAGGTTATAGGACCACAATCTATTAAATACATCTGGGGTACACAAACTTAATTCCTACTTATCTGCTTCAGACTCAAGCCTGAAATTATATACAGGAAGCTAGATGAAGCCTATTTCTAGAATTAGTTAATACTCTATATGACCATTAATATCATGATAGAAAGTTTAAATATTTATATATATTTAATAATTTTATAAATTTAGAGATAATATTTGTACCTTAAGAAAAGTTTTGAGTCAAAATAAAATCAAAGGATTATGAGATAGTGACAGTAGAATAGTCCCTTACTTTTGGTTTTCTTCTGTCCCATATTAGGTGGCTCTTCTGTTATTAGACAGGGATTTTGGATTTTTCTCTTAAAAAGCATGCTTGGGCTTAGAGAGGGAGAGATACACTCTCCAACTCCAAAGCCAGCTTTGATTTTTAATTTAACTGGGACCATAAAGAGACCATTTGCCTTTTACATTTGTAGAGAGCAGCAGAGACAAACATTTAGGAAGATTTATGAAATTTTATCCTGTTGGAAATATGCTATACCATTAGGCCAATTTTACTTTCTTTCTTGGGACATTTTTCTCTGGATGATTTGTCCTTCTTCAAATGTCTCATTTGTCCTGTGGCCTTCAGATTCCTTAGTTGGATGCTTTTATTCTCCTGGAAAGACAAAAACAAAACCCTGCCTCAACCCTAACTTTAGGGAGTTCCTTTTTTCTGACAGGTTATATCTTTGTTAAGACAAAAATGTCTTTTGGCATCAGAAAAAGTATTATCTTTCAATAATAAAAAATTAATAAATAAAAAATAATAAAAAGTTTCATACCTGATCAAATGAAAGACATTTGTTAGTCTTACAAGTTAGTTTAAATTGAATGGCCACACTGTTTGGTGAACTATCACCTCTCCTAATCAAGAGATCTCTCCTGTTTGAATCTAATTATTATCTATCTTGATGGTATCCATAGCTTTTCTTCTACTGTTGAAACAAAAGCAGAGCCTCTTCCCCAATGTAACACACATCCTGGTTTCCATTCTGAAGCCAATAAGGTACACAGGCTGATTTAATTCAGCAGTTTTTTCTTCTATCCAATGTCTGCACAGCTGCGGTTTCTTTCTCATTAGCATTAAAAATTAAAGTTAATAAAGAATTGTGCAATCTATCTTGAGGTGTCTTTGTTACCCCTTTCTGTTTATTAAGCATGTCTCTTAAAATGCGATTAGATCTTTCTACATCTGCTTGCCCTATAGGATTGTGTGGTATACCTGTAATATGCTTTATGTTGTAATATGCAAAAAACTGTTTCATTTTACTAGAGACATGTGCTGGAGCATTATGAGTCTTAACTTGTCCAGGTATCCCCATAATAGCCATAATGTCTAATAAATATGTAATTACAGAATCAGCCTTTTCAGAACTTAAAGCAGTTGTCCATTGAAATCCTGAATATGTATCTATGGTATGGTGCACATAATTTGATTTTCCAAACTTCACAAAATGAAACATGTCCATTTGCCAAATTTCATTTCTTTGAGTGCCTTTTGGGTTATTTCCTGCAAGTAATGAAGTTTGTTTATACAAAGCACAAGTAGGACATTTCCTTATGTTTCCAAGTGATAAAAAAAAAAGTTCTTCAAACATTTGCTGTTAACATGGTGTTTCTTATGAAATCCTGAGGCTTCTAGTACATTTCCTACCAATAGCTGATGAATTTCATCATTATATTACCTTGTGCTAGAGGGCCTGTTAGACCTGTATTGGATCTGATATGTGTTATATACAAGGGATGATTTCTATTTCTGATTACTTGTTGTAGTTCAATAAATAACAAGGTTAATTCTGAATCATCTGGAAGAAGTTCAGCAGTTTCAATATGTTAAACGACTCTTTCTGCATATTGAGAGTCAGTATATTAAGAGATTCTGGAAAATCTAATAATACCATGAGAATAGCATATAATTCTGATTTCTGAACTGAATCATAAGGGCTTTGAGCCACTTTACTTAATTTTCCTGACTTATAACCTGCCTTCCTTGATTTATTTGCATCAGTATAGAATATAGGGACCCCAGAAATTGGCATTCCCTTTATTATATGAAGGAGAATCCATTTGTTTTTTTTTTTTT